GATCGAGCGCGATCAGCCAACATTCTGCGACCTCCGTCCGGGACGGACGATGGGATTCATCACCCGAAGCCGGAACGGAGTGCGTCGCACGGCCTTTGCCTTAGGCAAGACCGGCATGCGCTTCTTCGTAGGTGTGCGACTAGAGGCTGACGAACATGCAGTAGTCACCTTCTGCGACTGCTTTGCAGATCGCACTGAAGCAGCTTGCTTGACAACTGCTAAGCTTGCCTTCCGGGGAGTTTTCCCCGGAACACGGAGGCTCTTACACCATTTCGTCCATTCCTTTAAAGGAAAGATGCTGCGCACGTTACCATGAAGGGTTCTGGGAGCAAGCTCGCCTTGGGCGAATTGCCTTTGCATAGGTCTATACAAGGCTTGGTTGTGCAGCAACAACTTCAAAAACTGAAAGAATCTAAGCTTCAGGAGGAAGGCCGCCTTGTGGATCATGGCCTGCAGCAAGAGTTTTCAGCAACAGACCCCACCGACATGATTGCCATGCTTGCTAACGAACATGCAATCAGGTCGCAGTTTCTCGAAACCACACATTAACTTCATGGTGGAGGCTTTCATTGGAAGTTGTACCGCTCGGCAGGAGCACTAGCTCTTGCCGATGAACGGAATGGCGGTATCTCGTGTCATTGAGAAGCCATTGGAATTTGGCAGGGCTGGCGACGTTCACGATAAGCCGATGCAGCGAAACTCCTGTAAATGTGACTTTACGAAGTTCTTCTCGAAAGAATGAAAAGTGCGCCACCAAGGCTTGGAGGAAGTCAACTTCCGTCAGCCACGGAGTGTCAGGATCCAATGTCTCTAGCAGCGTTCTCGCTGCGTTTTCGGACATATCCGGCTCTAAGAGACAATCTCTCATGGATTTGACATCCTGCGGCGCTGATCCTAGAGTGCCTCCATTGTAGAACTCACCAAAGGATGCCTGCGTGCGAGAAGAGTGCCGCTTGCGAAATTTGTTCATGATAACAGCAAGCCATTTGCTTCCCGCGGTCCGGCGGTTGTTCATGTTTTGGTCGTAGACCATAACAATATGCATGGCATCTAGCGATAAACTCTGCAGATTTGGCAGAACTTCTTTCAAGGTCTGGAACAGCTCCGCAGAGGGAGCATCGGATGCCACATGCAAGACCTGCCCACGCTGTGCATCTGTAAACTTTTTTTGCAATTCATCTGCCAGA